CTCCCCGCGGCGCCAGGGTACTCGATGCTTCACCTAAGGAGAAAACTTGGGAAAAGAATTTTCAGGTGAGCTACGCAGTGAGGATATCCTCGCAGCTGCAGATGCCTTGCTGCTGTTTTTTAGATGAGAGCGAGGGCGGCGTTCGCTGTCCCGGGGGAAGCTGGAGAGAGTTCCCCCTTCGTCGGCTGAAGCTGCGCCGCTGGGGGCTGATGCTGCTTGCCCCAAAGCAAGGCAAAGTCCCGTCACAGGCACGAACAGGAGCGCAGCCTGGGAGGATTTCTTTTGCTTGAAACGTGGCTTTCAGTCACCCTCATGGCCCCAGGCCCGCCTTGCCCAGGCTCCTGCAGCCTCCTGCGCCGCGGGCGGCCGCGCAGCACCCTTCCGGACGTGGGCGATCCGCACGTTTCTGCTCTGCTGTCATCTTTGTTGTCTCTCCTCTGCTACTTCCTGACACTAAATTAGCTCTTTTTCCCCACTGCTGCTGTGCTGATGCTTTCACCAACCTTTGTCATACCCTCAAATCTTCACTCTCAAAGGCAGCTTCACTCACACTTCTACACACGGGGTTAGGACTGGGTTTGTCCTATGCGCATCATCTTGTACTGCTCTGTGAGGAATTTTGACAGCCGCTTCATTGCCGGTCTCATGACACCTTCCTGCAGTTCCTTGCAACTGGTCCCCAAGTGCTGTACCCGGGTAGCACAGTATCTGCTGCTTGGCCCTTCTCCCTATGTGTGTGAGATGTTTAACAGCATGCTCCCAGCCTGTGTTCCCTTAGGAACATCTGCACCAAGGAGAACACACCATGTCCCCTACGTGTTGGGTCCTACCTTTCCCATGCTGTCATCCATGAGATGACCTTCCCCTTGCAGCTGCCTGGGGTCTGGAGAGCCCATCCAAGGTCTGCTGCAGACCCAAGGGGCTGGTACCCCCTGAGTCTCCCCAAGGCATGTGCTCACTGGCCTCTTCAGAGAGGGCCAATAGGTTTGAAGCAATCTCTTCCTACTATCAGAGCTGCGTTGACTCCTCTCCAATAGACCATATTTGTCCATGTGTCCAGCACGGCTGGCCGATACAGCTGCTGCTGACGAGCTCGGACAGTATTACTCTCGCAGCTTTCAGGCTCCTCAGATCCCCCGGTGGAGCCCTTTTCCCCTCAAGGGGCATTCCCTCTGGCACCTCCTTGCCCTCGGGCACAGCAGCAGCTTTAGCTTTCAGCCGTAGCTTGAACTTCTTTGAGCTTCTTTTTTCTTGTTTTGTTTTTAAGGCTAGAGTCTCTCCTGGCCCTTCCCAGCAGCCTTCTTGCTCTTGATGTGTTTGACAGAGCCCATATTTTCTTTTAAAGCTTCTTGGAAGCTGTTTCTCAGACTTTTTCTTGGCTTGCTCCCATATGTTCGCACACTTAACCTTCCACCGTTTACGGTCCTCTTGCTTCTTCTCACTTGGAAATAGCTGGGGGGCGGTTTCGAAGGATGCCTTGTTGTTTATAACTGCCGCTTTCACCCCGCTGTTTAGCCTTTGCTGAAGTCTTGCTTGAAAGCCTGTAATACATCTGCTGGAGGACGCCAGGGTGATGTCTTTAAATAGTCCTTCCCTCCCACCAGCCTGCAAGCGCTGGGCCGTTTTGGCTGTCCTCTCTCACTTCCTTTCAACAAGCTTCCTCGTCTCTGCCATCTCCCCATATTTCACCAAGGCCCCACAGCCCAGGATTTGCTCGGGATGGGGGGGCTCTTGCTGCTGTCCCAGCCCTGGGACCTGTGGGGCTTCAGCAGGGTGGGCAGCCACTGGTGGTCCCTCATCAGCCTAATGGGATGGAGCTATCCCCTGGGAGCAGCCGGCAGTGAGGCTGCAATGGAGGTCCAACGCCAAGCCTGGAGGGCAGGCTGGGGAGAACCCACCCACAGCACAGCCCGAGGGAAGGTGGCCCCAGAGCTGAGCTTAAATGGAGCCCCGGGCTGGGGGCAGGGTGTGGGGGTCAGCAGGGGCTGCTCAGGGCCATCAAGGCCCATTAGTGCCCTTTGAGCCTGGCAGATGTTGGCCCTAAGTCACTGTCGGAGGGTGGGAATCAGAGAGCAAGATTTGGAACCGTGTCTAAGCGTTATCCGGGAGAGTGCTTGCTGCTGCGTGAGGCTGCTGTCCATCGCCTCCAAATCTTGTGCGCGTGCTGGCCTTGTCCGGACCAGGGCAGGGGGTCCCCAGCTCCTGCTCAGGCAGGGGCAGAGTCCTGGTCCTGTCCTCCCACCTCCTTAGGCCGTTGTGTGTTAAGTCTGGCCCTCGGTGCCCCTGCTCCCCGCGCAGCCCGTGCTTTCCCCATGCCTGCTTGGGACCCCCTGACACCCACTGTCCTGGCTTCAGAGTTGAGCAAGCCCCTTCTCTCTTGGTTTTATCCCCTGCTCCTGCCAGAGGAACCCCCCACGATCGGGCTCATGGTCTGATGCCTGGAGGGGACTGTCCCCGGAGAACAGCACCCGGCACTGGCAGCGGGTCAGCCATAGCAGTGTCCCCAGCTCTACTCTCCCGAGTGTGGAGTGGTGGCAGGGAAAGGGACCAGGTGGCAGCTGGCATTTCTGCTCAGACCCTCTCTGAGGGATGCCCCCCGAGCCCACATGTCCCCTTCCCTGCGGGGAGCTGTGGCCATAAGCACGTGCATCCAGGAAAGCAAAGCCGAGGAGTGGCCGTCCTGCCCCGTTGGCTTTCGTGGGGCACCCTCTGCACCCACCCACTGCTTTGGTGCTAGTGGGGCTGTGGGTCCTGCCCCCTCGCCCACCCCTCCTCGCCATGGCTGTGCCATCAGCATGGGGCGGGACTGCCATGGGAGTCCCGGCACGGCGGTGCCAGCTGGTGGGGTTCCAAGGGCCCCCTGGGGCTCATAGGAGAGCCAGCCCCAGGCTCTGGGCATCAGGAGCCAGCTCCGGCTCGGAGCGTTTATCCACATTTGATCTATTTATTAGAGGGAGTGGGATGAATGGTGCACAGCAGCATCCCTGTCCCAGAGACACCTCGGTGCGGGAGCAGGGGAACCGCATCGCCCTTCACCTGAGGTCCTCGCCTTTCCAGGCAAGATTCAAATTTTCTCGGAAACACGAGCAATTGAGACTGTCCCTGCAGCTGCTGACATTTTCCATGACAACAGCTGGGTTGCTGGGTCTGCTCTGCCCCGTGCTGTACACTCATCGCGGGCGGTCCCTGCAGACCCTGGCTGGGCTGCTCGCTCCGGCTGGCCCCGCTGCCAGCTCCTGCATGAGCGTGGGTGGCTGTCGGAGGCAGGTTGGTGGCTGTTGGTGGCAGGTTGGTGGCTGTTGGCGGCAGGTTGCTGCAGCAGAAGCGGGGGGCAGATGGCGGGGGAGCAGAGCCCGCGCCGAGTCTCGAAAAGTCACCCGTGGGGTTGGTGGGTGGAAAGCCAAAACACAGAGGGAGTTTTACAGGGAGAGGGAAAAATTAAAGGAATGGAATTAAATAGCAGACATAGCAAGTGAGCGATCGTCCACAGAGGGCTTGTGAAAACAAACACAGCAGAGAGGAGAAGTGCAAGGAGCCCTGAAGCCAGGGATCTGCAGCCCGGCTTCAACAGCCACGCTGTGGCGAAGGCACCGAGCCCAGCCGGCCCGTGGGGGGCTGTGTGTCCCCTCGCTCTCATTCAACCCCTGTCCCCCCTCAACCAGCGAGGTGACCTGGCAGTCACCAAACATCGCTGTGCCTGGGAAAAGTCCTGGACTGCAGAGACAGGGTTTTCACCCCTTGATTTGTTCAGTCTTACGAAGCACACCTGAGTTTTCTCTGTAAAAGCTTGGCTTGCCCTTGCTACCACCACTGAGCTGCAGCAGAGGGAGAGTCCTCGGTGGCTTTGGATGCTCAGGACCGTGTTGCAAGTCATATGGCACAAAAGAGCATGTTTTGGGAGACCGCTGGACCTGCTGTCAAGCCCCAGGACCCCTCTTGTCTACATATCCTCCAAATCGATGAAGGATGAAAGATGGAGGATGAAACTCCTTTGCAAGTCAGAATACTTCACCTCCTGAAACCCTTTTTCCCCCTCTGCCCAGGAAAAGCAGGAGTTACCTGTTTGCAAGACCCTTGCTGTTGCAGACATAAAGCTTATATGTTACTGAGGAGTGAGCAGAGAAACCGCGCGCACCAGCGGGAAGGGTGGTGGGTTGCTGACAGCGTGCATTGCTGGTGGTCCCCAAGAGAGCAACAGAAAAATGACATTATCCTAATAAAAGTGCCCAGAGAGGAGGAAGCCCCCAGCTGTAAATGCCTGGGATGGTCAGGGGTGGGCACAGAGCACACCAAGGAGCATTTGACCCTGATTTTGGCAAGCATAGATGTGCGTGCTAACCTGTGTGTTTGTAGTAGCATCTCCCGGGACAGGGAGGATTTCGGCTGCGTGGTGTGAGGGTGCTTGGCAGTGGTGCTGGGCTCAGGGGCTGCACCGTGCATGGCTGGAGGCAGAGGCCACACAAAGCTCTGGGGACATGATGAGGACCTCTCCCTCTGGCTGCGGACCAGGACCCAGGGAGGGCACCCTGCTCCGGAGGCCGTCGGTGTTGTGGGGCTGGTGGGTGCAGCGCGGGATGGGGCTCTGTGTGGGGCAGGCATGGCCGAGCATCCCAGCCCATCACCCTGCGCAGCCTCCTCTCCCAAGGCAGCTCCTTCCTCTCCTCCGGGCACATCGCTATAGAAACCCAGTGCTGCACACATGTCCCCTAATTCATCGTCAGAGCAGCCCGCCAGCGTGGCTGATACAATTACCTGGGCCACAGATGGGGACAAAGCAAAGAGATCGAGATCAACAGCTGCTGCTCATCATGAGTGCCTGGCTTGAAACGCCTCAGCCAGGTGTCTTTACAGCATTAGGGTCCATTTGTCCGTGTGTAATTAATTACACAGCTTTATCCCTCACCAGCGGCCGTGCTAGGGTGCGTGTGGGTGCAGGGCAGGGACCGTCCCCGCTGCCCTGTCCCTCTGCCTGACCTGCCTCTGCTCGTTCCCTCCCGCAGGGCCAAGGAGATCAAGACCAAGCTTGGCACGCTGCTCCAGAAGCCCGACTCGGCCATTGACTTCATCATCCCCTACCCCGAGAAGCCAGAGAAGCTGCCCAAGGCCCAGAAGTGAGTACTGCACCGGGACGGGCTGCGCCGGCACCCGCACCTGGCCGGAGGGGTGGATGCGAGTCCTTTTTGGGGTGCGGAGGAGGGAAGCCCCTGCTGCGGGGCCCGCGGTGGGCACAGTGGGCTTCACGTGTCCGGCAGCTCATGGCACGCTCCTCGTGACCTGCCAGCCAGGTGCGGGCTCCAAGAGTTACGTCAGGGCAGCATGAGACATGCCAGGCAATACAGCTTTCTGCAAATCAGATTTCTCACGGAAACTCAATTTACTTTTGATGAGATTTCACATTATTCGATAAAGGCTTTGCCAAAGGCGTACGGCACTTGGTCTTCTCTGAGTCTCCTGTCTCAGCTAAGAGGTGCCAGCCCTGCACAGGCTGCTGGCTCTGGGGCGGCAGCGTGTCCCCAAGCTGGGTGCATGGCCCCACGGAGCAGTGCCTGGCTCTGGGCAGCTCCGCGACGATGACACCGTCTCACCTTATTGCCTTCGTGCCGAGCCGCTGCTCTCCAGCACCAAGCTGGTTTAGTGACAAAGCAAAGCAGAGAAGCTAGAGAGGCTGATGGGCTGTGCCGCAGGAATAACAGCTCAAAGCAGGCAAAATAAACCTTTAAAAGAGGTGTTAGCTTAAATCTAAAAGCAGGGTGGCTTCCTGGACGCAGGGTGGTGGCCTCACCTGGGGCAGCTCCAGCCCAGCCTGGGGCAGCTGAGCCAGGTGCCTGAGCTGCTGCCCTGGCCGTCCTTCGGCCATCCCTCGTCCCTGCCACTGTTGGGTGGGTGACACTCTGGGAGACGCGTGCCCCTGCCCCGGGGAGCTGCTCCCTGCCCGTGAGCTGCCCCCAGACACACGCAGAGCCGGAGGACCCGGGTCTGACAGCACCCAGGCTACCTAGCTTGCCAGAGGCAGGAGAGGCTGACTGGCAAAGTCAGCCTGGCTCACGGCACAGCGAACGAGGGCTCATCTCGAAGGGCCCGAGTGGCCACGTCGCCATGGAAACCAGGAGAGCTGCATGCCCACTCTTCACAAGGCCAGGTTTCTACTTCCACTTTAAAATCGCAACTTTTCATTTTACACCAGTCCCTCTCCCTCAGCCCAGGTAATGTTACTCTAAACCAGTAACCCTCCACCAAGGGATTGCTAAAAACCTCGAACAAATTCAAACAAGCCCGGAAAGCAACCCCAAAGTGCAGACAAACACCCCGCTCTCCCTGAGGAGAGCCCGCAGAGAGCTCAGTCGCCCGGCCAGGCAGAGCCCCGACAGACGGCGCGTTTCACACTCAGCTGCCGCCGTGCCCCGGATGCCTCTGCGAAGGAGATGCATTTGTCCCCATCAGCCGTCCCTGCTGAAAGCTGGAGAACATCTCCACTCGCTGCTGGCTGGAGGAGTTGTTTTCCCCTGCGCTGCATCGTTACTCAGCCCTGGTATCACTCACCCGTCAGCATCTCACTCGTAGTTAATACCATCCCTGGGACATTCAGCTAATGGCAAAGTGAGTTTGGTAGTTTCCAGGAAATCTGGATCATGTCGGGTCGCGGCAGCCATGCTCCCCCTCCCCGGGAGCGGGGAGACGCCTGGCAGGAGCGTGCTGGCAGGGAGAGCTCTGATCCTTGATAGCGAGTGCAAACGCAGTTTGGGGTCCAGAAAGCAAATGGTCAGAGCCCCCATCACAGTCTTTACTGCTGGGCGCTGGAGGTTTGACGACAAGTGAGGGCTGGATACCCAACCTGAGCAACCTTTGCGTTTCTGCTGTTCTCCTCTCCCCCTGGAGCCCCTGAGCTGGGCAGGAGCACCCGTGCTTTCCCCAGACCTACCACAGGAGCACCAAGGCCCCCAGAACCATAGGCTGTCCTGCCCGCTGCCCCCTCCCCATCCCTGGGGCTGCTCCGCTCGCCCAGAGGGTTTCAGCCCTGACACCTGCCCCTGCAGCAGCGAAGCAAGGCTGAGTTGCGGCCGAGATCGGAACTGCACCAAAAAAAGAGGAAAAACCACGCACATGCAAAATGCGGAAGGTTTTCGGCAGAGGCTGGTGTCCTGCCCCGCCGCGGGCGTGGGAATGGGCCAGGCAGGCTGTGGGAGTGAAGGGGTGCTGACCCCAGCCCCGCAGCGCGGGGACGGAAGGATCCGGCCCTTTCACCGCCCTGCTCCCGGCAGGGAGCATCCTTCCCCATCCCAGGGGGAAAACACAGGGATGATTCCCAGCTGCTGGCTGAGCCTGCGCTCTGCCCTCCCATGCAGGGGTGCTGGAGTAAGGAGGGGACCCGGGGCTGCAGCGGGGCTTGCTTTGCAGCTCAGCCACGTCTCTGCTCAAACACGGGGGAATTCGCCCACCCAGCCCTGTCCTCACCTCCCCGGGAGAAGGGTACTCGTGCTGCGATGCAGCAGCATCTCCATTGCTCAACCAACATCCCCCTCCTGCAGCAGTCTCCACAGCTCGTTACTCCATTCCTCCCATTTTTAAAAGAATTATTTAAAAACCTGGGGCTGTGGGATGAGCGTGGACTACCTGGGCTTTCTTGATTACCTTCAGACCATCACTGGAGGAGGCTCTGCAGTGGCACGATTCCCTGGAGAAGATCCTGCAAAACCCCTGTAAGTCCACATCCCCCTGCAGTCGTGTCCCCCCATCCTGTCCCATCCCTACAGTGATGCTCAGGAAGGGCTCAGCCCCCTGGGACCGCCAGCACTCAGTGAAGGCTCATCCCCCCCGCAGATGGTCTCGCCAGCTTCCGCAGCTTCCTGTGCTCCGAGTTCAGTGAGGAGAACGTCGAGTTTTGGGTAGCATGCGAGGAGTACAAGAAAACCAAGTCCCCCGTGAAGATGGCAGAGAAGGCCAAGAAGATCTATGAGGAGTTCATCCAGACTGAGGCACCCAAAGAGGTCAGTGGCCACAGGGCAGGAGACAGCGCCGGGAGGGAGGAGGCTGCTGCCCAGGTGGCCTCATCCCGAAGGAGAGCGGTGGCTGCACAGCACCCCGTCCCACGGCTGAGGGGCTCCCACCCTTTGCAGCCCTGGTGCCTCTGTTCACAACTCAGCATTTCCCCACAGCCTCTGCTGGGCTCCCTCCTGCCACAGGCACCTCCAGCAGACGCCTGTCCTCCCCTCCCCGCAGAGGGGTTACCTTAGCCAGGAGGGATAACAACTTACAGCAGTCCTCCTCCCAGAGTTACACCTGCTGCAGGATAGGTCTCGTCCCTCATTACAGATTTGCCACCAGTAATTTCCCCAGATTAAGAGACCCTGCTTCAGTCCCTCTCCATAACCTCTGTGTGGTTGCTGGTGGGACAGAGCAGGCAAGGGGAGATGCCATCACCCACCCCTCACAAAGGCAGGGTCCCCAGCCCTCTTACACTCCCATCACAGGTGAACATCGACCACTTCACCAAAGGTGTGACCATGAAGAACCTGGTGGAGCCATCACCAAGCAGCTTTGACATGGCCCAGAAGAGGATCTTTGCCCTGATGGAGAAAGACTCCCTGCCCAGATTTGTGCGGTCGGAGTTTTATCAGGAGTTAATCAAGTAGCAATGCGGCAGGGCTGTGCGAGGCGATCCCCGCGGGCCATCCCACTGCTTCTGTCTACACACCTGCCCCTTCTCCTGCAGCTGCTTTGCTTTCTTGATACCACCCTAGAAGAGCACCCAGGGGCGTTGCTAAACATCTCCCCCCGTGCTTTGGACTGTCAGGTGTCCTGATGTTTCCTCTCTTACAGTTTCTTTCCTCTCCCACATAAGACCATTTAGCAGAAACCCCCAGTGATCCTCCCTGGGTTTGGGAGCAGCCCCAGCTCCGCAGCCAGAGTGTCCCTGGGGCGCTGGAGCTCGGCTTCCATCAGAGGCTCCGAGGCACCGGCTCTGCCTCCCTAGGACATGACAATATTTCTCCCTGTTTTGCCCGTGTCTCTGGTTTGGCCCAGGCTCGCTCCCTCCTCCTGGCTTTCA